TATGTGTCTGATAGTGTTCTATTTCGTATATTAATTTAACCTTTGAAAAATCCTAGGAGATCTTATTATTGTCCCTGTTTTATTTTGTTTTTTTATTATCCCTATTTTAAAGTAAGGAAATGAGGTGAAAGGGAAGGCGATAACTCGCCAGATTCTCATAATTAGAATGTCATTCAATTAATATTTAGTCTACATAAATATTCATCATGTGATAATTCTCAAAAAAAAGATAACGTGGTAATTTCTGTGACCCAGTATAAGACCATAAAAAGCTAAAGACTGTTGAGGTCATTCCTAGATGCCCATCTGCTTTCACTATTTTGGCTGAAATAACTGCCAACCTCTGATATGTTAGCCCACCAAGCTATCTGGTTTGCCAGTTTAGAAAATGCACTAATTTTAATTAAACCTATTTCAGCCACTTATTTCTTAATTTATTCAGTCTATAAATATGATTTATTCTATAAGTTTAGTATTTAGAAAACATTGCCTTGAATTATTAAATTAAATTTAATACTACTTAATCTGTCCCCTGCATTTTATGACTTTTAATTAACTGCCCATTATTTTTTAAAATTTTATTTCATCAAAAATAAAATCTTTCCTTTTGAACATATAAAATCAGCCCAGTGCCTGTTACCTCTGCATACAAGTACTTTTCATTTATAACCTTAGTAACCTAAATGGATCTGGATCACTTAATAAATTCCATTTTTAAATTTAATCATGCTTTTAGAAAATACCCTAACATATAGGAATTTCTAGTAAATTTAAATTTTCTTTAAATTTAGAAAGTGTTGTGACAGCCCTCTTCAAAATGCTACCCTTGTATAGAGATAAGATTCTTATCCCTGGCTTTTCTCTTTTAGAGACTGTAGTTTTTAAAATAATGTGCAAGTTTACACTGGTGATTGCCTTAGTCAAAAGGTACATTATTGACACGGTGTATTTTTCAGGGGAGCCATTCGATTCATTTTTGGTTTAAAATAAATTAAAGGAAATCTAAAATGACCATGCCAATAGATTCTATTTTTTAAATAGCTGCATTGTGATTTGGGACAGTGCTCTGTGCTGATAGTGAAAAGTTCCATCCCTTTCTCTCTCTACCCACATGCCAACCCCCCCACACACATACATAAACACACATGTGTACAAACACATACAAATGCAACTTATATATATATATATGTGTGTGGGTGGGTATATATATACACACACACACACATATATATATATATATATTCAGTGGTAGCTCTTTCCCACTTTATTTATGCATGTGTGTATATATGTAAACAAAACTAAATTATTATTTTTAAATGGTTTTATTTATTTAGAGAGAGTGTGTGAGTGGGGGGGAGGGGCAGAGGGAGAGTAAGAGAGAGAATCTCCAGCAGACTCTGTGCAGAGCCCCATGTGGGTCTCAAGCCCACAACCCTGCGATCACATGACCTGAGCTGAAATCAAGAGTCAAGTGCTTAACCTACTAAGTCACCCAGGCACCTAGAAAGCTAAATTTCATAGAGCCATAAATACACATTATATGGTATTCAATAGGTTAAAGAATGTTAAATCTTAAATATCATAAACCATATCCAATCATATATTTAAAAGCAGATAATGTCCAATGGCCTCACCTCCTCCCTTTCTCCTGCTCTACAGAGCCTTTGGTGATAGTCTTACACTTCCTCTGAAGCCCTTGTTTGTAAAGCCACATTTCAACTCTGCAAGCACATGGAAAGAGAGAAAACCTAGAGCCTGCAAAACTGCAGTGATTATTATTTTATAATGTTGGCTTCCCTGAGCCTGTCTCCAACAACCATAATTAAGGCAATACAACCGTTAGCTTCTCTCGGGAGTAAAAAGAAGGATCTAATTGAAACCTGTAAAGCAGTTTCACAAGTGAAATGGAAAGAATATTGGCATTTATCTCCCAGCCCCAGTTTTACAGTCACAGATTATTAATGTTTCATAAAAATGTTGCAAACCTTCATGCTAATATCACTACAACTGATGAATTTAGGTCAAATAATGACAGTTGAATCTTTAATTGGTAATGTTTACTAGAATTTCTTTTCTGGAATAAGAAGATATGGATTCTGAAAATGATTCTATAATTAGTAATAGTCATTTTATGATTCTGAAGAACTTCTAGACCAGCATATATAAACTTAACACAAAAAAATAGTCCATATTCTAATAAGTAACAAGTTGATTTCTATAAAGATGGTACTGACAGCCTAGATAAGGTAAGCTAACCCATTCTTCTCCCAAACTTGACTGTATTTGACATCGCTCTGTGAACACTAAGTAATGCAGGTAGGAGTCTCAGTTTTAATTATGAAAAATAGTACCTGTTTTTTTTCAACTGCCCTCCTCCAGTCTTCCTCCTCCTCCCCCCATTCCTTCTTCTCCTCCTCTTTCTACCGCTGCTACAAAATAGGAAACCTGAATTCTGAGCTCTACGTGTAGTATCTTTTTCAAGAATCTTTACCTGTTATTGAGGGGTTTTTTGCACAGATTTAAATCGCTCACCCCCAGTAGGTGCTATCATCAAAGAAACTATATTCAGTTATTGTGGGATTCATTTGCTGAGGAAGTATTTGCTGAGCATCTACTAGATGCTCAACAGTATATGCTCAATGATCAGGCTTCAGTGTATAGACAGACCTTTCTCTTCATGGAGCTTATCTTCATAATCGTTCAGTTTATTGTCTAATATCCACATGACTTCTTCATTGATTATGGGTTATGTTGGAGTGTATTTCCAAATTTTCAAATACATGGGAATTTTCTAGTCATTTTTTGTTATTGATTTCTAGCTTAATTTTATTGTGGTAGGAAGATCTACCTTCTCTGATTCTAATGTTTTGAAGACTGATGAGATTTCCTCAAATATGGTCAGATTTGTTAAATAACCCATGTGCACTTGAATGTTTATGTAATTGTATTGAGCAGTGTTTTATGTATTTCCATTAGGTCAATTTTATTAATATTGTTTTCCAAATTTTCTATATTTTTTATTTTTATTTTTTTCTACTTGTTTAATCAGTTGTGAGAGAGGCATATCAACTCTCCTACCCCAATTATTGTCCATTTCTTCCTGTGATTCTATTTTTGTTTCTTTGAGACTCTGCTATTAGGTCTGTACAAATTTAGAATTATAACCCCCTAGGGAAATTAACCTTTTATTATTTTTAAACATCTTTCCTTATTAATACTAATGTCTTTTGAATAAAGTCTACTTAACTTGACATAAATGTATGGATGGAACTAAACCAGATTTCTTTTGGTTAGTGGTACATATTGACTTTTTGTGTTATGTAACTTTTCTGTATCTTTCTATTTTAAGTGTATCTCTTATATGCATAATATAGTAAGATTTCATTTAAATTTAAATCCCTCTTTAATTGATTAGCTCATTTGCATTTGGCAACTACCATTGTATTGGGTTTAAATCTACCATTTTATAACTTACTGAACTACATTATTTTTTCTTTCTTTTCTTTTATGTTGATTAAGTTTCATTACCCCATTTTTTTCCTGTCTTTGCTTGACAGTTACTCATTTTCTTTATTGTTATTATATGGTTAGCCTAGAAATTACATTATAAACTTTGACTTATCGAGTTCTTATATAAATTTATATTTTAATTGGTGATTATGATGTGATTTAAAAAACATTTCACATCCTAATATGTTTTTTTTGTTTGTTTGTTTTTTAAAGATTTTATTTATTTGACAGAGAGAGACACAGCGAGAGAGGGAACACAAGCAGGGGGAGTGGAAGAAGGAGAAGCAGGCTTCCCGCAGAGCAGGGAGCCCGACCCAGGGCTCCATCCCAGGACCCTGGGAGTATGACCTGAGCCAAAGGCAGACACTTAACGACTGAGCCACCCAGGCGCCCCTAGTTTTTTACTTATATATAGGCATTTTAATATGTTTTAGCTACATTTAGTGTAAAATCTTTGAGTGTTAGGAATGGACTATTTAGTTTAAGCACAAAGTATCTTTATGTGAGAATAAAATAACAGTATACAAATTATTGTGAAAGCCAGGATTAGATCTACTTTTTTGTCACAGAGCAAGATACTGTGAGCTGTCATATATCCAAACCATGACCTTAATTTTCATTTTTCATATGAATGTTCAGTATCCTGTCAACAGTTCGAAGGTAAACAAGACACAATTCCAGGATATTTAAAATTAAATAAAATAATTATAACTTTAAAGATTGTAATAGAAAATATTCTTATCTGGTCATAAAGAATAATTTTTAGAAAGTTCTTGATTGAAGAAGAAAAAAAAAAAACTTTGTTAAGAATTTGGTTATTAACCCATAGCTTTCCACTAGACTGATAATAGGAAAGTCCCAGAAATATTATCATATATTCTAGTGTACAGTTGAGGGTATAGTTTTTAATTTTCCCTAAAGAATTATCTTAATATGACATTATTTGTGGAGAAAGGCAGAGGATAGTGTAGCAGATGCTACCATTGCTCAGTCAGTGTCCTCCCTACCTCATCATTTTGGTGGATTACTGCATACTTTCAATGCCTATTGTCTGAATCTCTTTGCCTCAAGGTGAGTCTCTGTGGAAGCTTAAATTGTTGCACCACAGCCTGCTGTCACAGTAGAAGTAATGGCTCATCAAAACAGCTCTCTACCAAAAATTGATCTGAGTTGGTATATAAATACCCCAACTCCCTCACCCATTAGGGACAATGACTTTGAGATTTCCTCGTGTAGTTTAAGTTCCAGTTGCCCATGATGATTGTTTGGTAGTGTATCCTTCATTGGCTCATTCCCCTCCCTATCTCAGTGTCCACTTCATTACTTGTATTTCCTGAAATATCTCACAAATAAACTACTGACACTTGCATCATTTTCTAGGCATCAGCTTCTGGGGGAGCCCAAATTAAGACAATTGGTACTAGAAGTTTCTGTGAGTCAGTCTAGCTACAACTTAGTTGGATCATCTTTAGTTTCCCACACAGCTGCTATCAAAGTGTGAACCAGGGCTTCAATCTCATCTGAAGACTAACTGAAGAAGCAAATTCTTCCAAGCTCATGTAGTTCTGGGCAGCGTTCAGATCCTGTAAGCTGCTGGACCATGGTTTCCTGCCTTGTACAATAAAAACAACAACACACATACAACACAAAAACTTAAAAACATGTGATCAGAAGGCTGATGTCAGCAACCACAGCACAAAATAATAACCATATACCAATTTCAAGGGAGCCTATTCCAGAAGAGACTGCATCCCCTTGAGGAATACTCCATAACACAAAGCAACTATACATAATACCAAATTTCATAATCTTTCCTCAAAGGGACCTAAAGAAATTTGCCAGGGCCCATTTTTATAATTTGAAGCCTGTTACAGAGTCTGGACTTACAATATACTAGGGAATCCACAATGTCATCACAGACCCCTAGTTAGGATGCATGATAGATGGAATACTGGCCTTGGCCTTTAGTCATCTCATTGTGGACCCAATGATTCTACAGAGCCCTCACCTCTGACATTTCTCAGTCCATTAATGCATAATCGGGATGCATATACTTGGTTGACAGGGCTCCTAAACTTGCAACCTAACCTGTGAAGGACTGCAATAATGGTAAGAAATTTTGAGTAAAAGCCTCTGAAACTGCTCGCTTCCAAGCAGGTTAGCAAATTAAAAGCAATGCTGTGTCCCAGGTAGAAAAGCAGAATGGCAATGGCAGAGCCTAAAGCCTAAAGGATATAATGGTGGTGGTTTTTATTTTCACCCTACTTAATTGACAGGTCCACATGCCTCCTCACTCAAAAAAAAAAAAAAAAAAAAAAGATGGAGCATGGCAATGATAGCATACACTTAACCAGGTGTTATTTCCAATTGCAGCTTCTGTACCAGATGTGTGACTTCACTAGAATAATCCCTACAGCCTTGAGCATTTGATCTACAGTTATTGATCTGGCAAATGAGCTTTTTATCTCCAATACTAATCAGGAAAGAGGATTAGAAGCAGTTTACATTCAGCTGGGATAGATGGTACTCTACACACATAGTCTTGCCCCAAAACAACATTAACTCTACTGACGTTAATCAAATATCATCAGAAGGAGTCCAGGTCATTTAACCATTATACAGAATATAGAGCTGGCTCTCGATATTAATATCATATTAAAGAGTTTACAATGATAAGTTTTCTAAAGTAATTAAGAAAAGGGCATGTTATCCAGGGACACAGATCCACAAAGATGAAGGTCTATGTTTACTTATTGGGCAAGACCATCGAACAGGCTGGCTGAGAGTGAACGGAATCTAGAATCATAGTTGGAAGGGAGAGGGAGTGTGTTAGTTTTCCTACTTCTCCTTCCATTGTATTTTTTTTTTTCAGCGAAACCATGACTGGCCACCACATGAAAAACAGTGATAATATTGAGATATTGAGTGAATTTAGCATGGGACATAGGAGGATCTGTCCAAGGCAAGTAAATTGTTACAGACATTTTCGGTGCTCCACCCATGTCCTTTCAAGCCTTATCATTTAAGTGCATACTAATTGATTTTCACCTGCAATCATTATCTCTTTGCCTAAAGGTTTATCTGGAACCTTCTGTTGCCACTGTTCAGGGCAGGCCGAAAAGTGACAGAAAAATAACCCTTCTCGGATCAATCCTGTACCATTGACTCCAAGAGCTGATTTAAAAATACCCCAGCTCCCATGGTCCTAAAAGGAAACCTCTTTGAGCCCTATAATCTGCAATGGTTCCCAGACTTCTAGTTGTCTACAATGGCAACTTGTTTGATTAAATCTTTGTCTCAAGGTGTGCCCCTCGGAAAATATAAATTATAAGGCTTTGAGATCAAACTGACTGGGGTTCTAAATTTCACTTGGAAACATCTCTTTGTAATATCTTTCCCTTCTTTTTTCTTCTTCCCATTTGTCCCCTCCTTTATTTTGCAAACAAAATTTATGTTAGAACATAATTTATTTTTACAACTTAATATTGCTAAATTCTTAACATTAGCTAGCAAAATTTTATAGTAATATTCATTTTACAGAATATTTATCAGTGATAATTTGATAAGGTACCTAGTTTTATATCTGGCATATACTAGACTCTCTTTTAAAGAGTTTGCTTTTATTTAATAATGATTATCTTGCTTTAATAAATGGAAGCTTAAATAAAGGTATTTTATACTTATTACCTGAGTAATAGATATAATTAACATTAATTGTGTAATTTTACATGATAATTCACACAGCACATGCTAAGAGTATTAGCGTTGGTGTTAAAATATATTCACTAAAAGATATGTATTTGAATGTTCACAGCAGTGTTATTTATAATAGCACCAAACTAAAACTACTCAAATTGTCATCAGGACTAGAGTGGTTAAATAAATTGCAGAATAGTCATCTTCAATAAAAAAGAAAGAAAAATTTTTTTTCCAAAAAAAAGAATAGTCATCTAATGGAATACTATGCAGCAATAAAAATGAACAATCTATAACTATTAGCAACCATATGGATTATTCCCACAAACATAAGATTGAAACCTCATATAAAATGGAGTCAGGAAACCAGATGGAGGAGCTCTCATGCCCTACTGCTCATTGTTAGTTGCAGACCCCAACAGCAAAAGACATAGTTTGCATTCCCAATAGGAGAAGCCTACTTTACTACTCCAAGGAGGCAGGAAGAATTTCTCCGAGCCTAGCAACAAGCTCAGCCAATAAGAAAAATACCACAATTCAGCCAATAAGAAACCATCACCACCCTGAAATCACACTTTCCTCCAAATGGACTTTCATTCAAAGCAGCCCCTCCCAACTTACTTCTTTTCTCTGTAAAGAAACAGTATTCTCCTTTAATATCCAGACCTGCCCATGGTTTCCCATAGCTTGTATGTCTCAAATTGCAATCACTTTGCTCTTTCTGAATATATTCATCTTGCTGGTAAAATAACTGTCCATTTTACTCTATAGGTCAACAGTGTTGACTGAAAGAAGCCAGTCACACACACAAAAATACATACTATCTTTTTTGTTCCAAATAATCTGTGCTGTCAGTAGTCAGAATAGTAATTACTTTGGGAGGCAGGCAGAGATAGGAAGAGGGCATAATGAGAGCTTTTGGTGAGTTGACAATATTCTGCTTTTTGTTTTTTGGGGGTTTTTCTTTGTTGTGGTTATTGGTTTTACAGGGGTGTTCAGTTTGTGAAAATTTAGTGAACTTTATACTTATGATATGTGTACTTGTGTGTGTGTGTGCACATACTGGTAAGTTAAGAAAACCTAGAGTTAAAATCGAAGACACTGTTCTAAAGGTTATCTGGCACAACTAGGTTTTACAAACAGTAGAGTTCATTATTTAAATACATCAAAATATTTCCTTTGACATTCATCATGATTTCAAATGCAGTACATTATTACTGCCAGGTAATTGATCACCATCTCTTGGGTAGTTTTGTGGTATTTGAAACTCCAACATCCATACAATATGCATCAGAGTACTTTTTTTACTCAGTTAAAATTCATGACAGACTTGACAGATTCTGATTCAAAACATTAAATGTATCCTTCAAATTAATTTCTTGATATTACTTTGAAATGCTTTAAAATTGGCTTTCAACTTTTTAATTTCATTACATAAATCATAACAGACAGACAATATTTCCTGGATACTTACAATCTCATTATATTCTCTTTTCCCCTCTTTCTTCTTTTGACTCTTATAGTTCAGGAAAAATTTTCTTATCATTATACCTTAACATCAGATGATAAACTTTATAATATTTAATATTCTGCCTTGATAGAGATTTGAATGGCTGTAACAATGGGAGAAAGGTGACAGTGGTAGACAAGGAAAGATGCCTTTCTCCACATTAATAGTTAAAGTCATGTAAACTTGGTTTCCCAAAGTTTAATTTATGTTTACCAAGAACATAAAATATATTTATATTTAATCAAAAATCCATCTTGATTAATTGATTTGCTCATTCAACATTTATAAAGAAACTATTACAACCAAGTAATTTGATACTACTCTGAAAAAGAGCTCATTGTCTGGTGGTATATATAGCACAAATGTCTCAACCATGTCTCAACTTTCTTACTAGAAGTGCTAACTAGAGTTTTGAAGAGTTTCTAGGCAAGTACTGTTAAGCCTTTCAAGGTTAGTAAGTGAGTTATTTTATCAGAATTTATTTAGATATTGTAGCCAAATTAGTGATTACGGTCATTTTCTACTGTCATTCATTTATTCATTCATTCATTCATTTTTAGCCCCAGGTTTTCTTTTCCACCCAAGGTCAGCTCCTAAAGCATTTTGCTTCCACCTGCAGAAGGCCACAGTCAAATTTATACTGCTTGCTTCACCTGATAAGGTTGCCAACACAAGATCCAAAATTTATTTCCTCCATTAGTTTAACAAAGACTTGATCTCTGAAATTTTAAGTGGCATGCCAGGCTCTGAACAAAGATCAAGGAGAAGCAAGCACGAAAACACTTTCCAAACAAAATGATGAGTTAAAACTGAGCTATGTGCAAAAGGTCTTGAAGAGATAAATAGGTGATGAATGGCAGAGTAGAGCGGAGGGTGGTGTTGGGGAAAGATATCTGGGAAATTTTCACTGCAGTGATAAACTCCTTGGAACTGGGATTCCTCCCTAAGTGATAGTGACCTCTCTGAGAATAGCCAATGTAATATAGAGATGCATAAGGTGAGTTTTATATGCCACTTGACCCTTTATGCCCAAAGCAATGCACTTTGCTTTACGTCAGAGGCTACCTATAATCCTTTATATCCCATTGCATCAATTTATCACCCTGGGAACCCAGCCACCATGTTTTTAGGAAACACAGACCACATAGAGAGGCCAGTGATAGATAATCTGGTCAACAATTTCAGCCAATGTCTCAGCTAACAGCTACTACCACCCATGAGATAAGTGAGTGAGCAAGTCTTCAGATGGTTTCAGAGCCCAAATTTCCAGCTGCTCCAGCTGACTGACACCTAGTAGAACAAGAATGAGGTATCTGTATTGAGCCCCTACCCAAACTACAGACTGGTGAGTGTAATAAATATTTTGGGTGTTTGTTTTTGTTTTTTAAATCTGGCTATAGTAACTAGAATGATCAATATGACTGTGTGAGACAAAGTAACTCTGAAATGAAACTCTGAAATCTCTCTGATAGACCTTGTAGATTAATAAAGCAATATAAGAGAAGCACATGAATTTCTATAGTACAAGACAGAATACTATTTTTAAAATGTGTAACCATAAAGACACAATGGTCATGAGGGTTGTTAGCCTGAGAAAGGAAATGTACTAATTTTGGAGTCAGGAAATTCATGAAAGAGGTGGCATTTGAGATCTCTTTTGTACCATTTATTTCCAGGAAAATCTATGTTTTTTCATTCATACACAAAATTTGTACTCTCATGGTAATTTAAATTTTCTGGCACTGTAGCAGAAGTCTGACAAATGTAGTTACAAAAATTTTTCCCCATTCTCTGTACTCTGTTCATATATGCAGACTAAAAGTTGTGGCATGAGAGTCCCTCCATATGGGTTCTGTGATAAAATCTGGAGAGTATATGCAAAGAGATTAATAAGGTGCACTGCTTCACATCTTTACTCAGGAGACATTTGGCCTTAGCAGACGCTTGGGGCACCTGGAAGTGCATATGCCATTGAACTGGGGTCATATTAGAATGATAAGCTGCCCAATTATGTGTTTATTACAAATACCAAGATAACTTGAATAACATTGCAAGTATAACTTGAGAATTTAACCCATATGTATGAAATATCCCTGTTAGAGCGATTTGTGAGCTGAGTAGTTAAGGAAGGGTAGAAGCCAAAGTTGCTCACAATTAGAAATACAGATGTTTTCATCTCATTTCAATCTTCCGGTTAAGTTCTTTTCAACTGCTGGTGAATGTCCCACTGTGAACGTCTGACTACCAACCCAGAGTCATTATTAGGAGTAAACTCATATCGCTAAGATGTTTTACTTCACACCTAGAATTTTCCAAGTCATGAAGTGGCTTCCAGGCTAGCTGGGCACAAACTGTAGGAATTTCAGAATCTAGGTATTTCTCAGAAACATCACAAACCTAAACCTGAGATCTATACAGACTGCGTAATGCTTTTTTTTTTAATGAATACATACCTTATTAAAATGTGTAATGCTTTTTTTAGGCAAAATTTATCTTATAGAATTTTTGCATGACTGACATTCATCAGATAATTGTTCATTTTTCAATACTGGATAAAAACAAAATTGAAATATCTAAAAAATCTTAAGTACTCTAATATTCAGATATAGCTAAGGTATATGACTCTTAAGTTTCTTATTTAATGTGTTTGTCCCCACCCACCCATTCTACTAGCAAAATACTAAGAAATCCACTGACCCAATTTGTACTATCATAATTTGGCTTCAGCACTTAAAAAAGCTAAGCCACACTAAAAACATATTAGTTTCTCCTTCATTATGGAAGCTAAAACTGATGAATTAGCCCACAGAGTCTCATTCACTATAGATTTGCCTAAAGTCCCATATCGATTAACAGCTGTATAAACATATAAACAATTCTCCCCTCTGGATGGTGAATTGCTACAAGGAGGGTTGTGATATTTCATCAAGAGCTAAGAGCATACATGTGAATATTTGCGATTAAAATAAAGTTATAATGCCCAGTGGTTTTCAACTGAA